ACAGGGATGAGACAGGGACCCAAAGTGCCCTGGAGGGGACAGGGATGAGACAGGGACCCAAAGTGCCCTGGAGGGACCCAAACCACAACTACAGTCATTGCCCCAGCAGTGAAAAGCAAGAGATGGATAAGGCAAGGGACAGGGCCATAGCAGGGTTTGGCAAGGCAGGAAGAGGAGGAAGGAGGAGAAGGAGTAGAAGGAGGGGAGGGGACAGATAAGAAAGCTGGTCCCTCACCAAAGGCAGTCAGACAAATCCAACAGCAAACCAAGGTTACCCAGCCTCTGACCTCCTCAGAACCCCGGGACTGGCAGGAAGATTCCAGCTGCCAGCCCGGTGAGCAGATTCCTGCCTGGCTGCCTCCATGCTGGGACAATGGGGCTGATGCTCAGCTACTGGAAGGTCACAAAGCCCAGCTGGGATCCCTGGCCAGAGACAGTCAAATTGAAAGAGGAATTGGAAAGCAGAGAACAATTTGCAGTCTTTGGAAATGGCTCCTCCCAAGCATGAGGGAGAGATATCCATTCAAGGGAGATCTAAGGAGCCCCCCAGGAAAGTGGGGCCACTGCAGATGAAAGTATCCAGTGCTTGAGAGAATCAGCAGTGCTGGAAATCATCTCTAGTAACCTAAGAAGGGATGACACCCCAAAGAGCCAGAGGATGTTCCTTGCACGATGGCCACGTGGAGGAAGGCGGTTCAAAGTGCCCCTGGGTCACATTCTGACAGCCTGGTACCAGTGTATCACCCAAAGATGGATCCAGGAACTGCAGGTGATGTCCTCCTGGCCTCGAGATGCAGGAGAAACTCTGGGCACCTCCTCACTCCCACAGGCCAGCACCTCATCTCCCAGGGGCAGCCCCAGAGATCAGTCCCCTCCTGCCCCGGGCAGAGGGAAAGGAAGCCCCAGGCTCGGGCCATGTGGTGAACTCTGGTTCTTTCTCTGTGACCAGGGGGAAGCCACGAAGAAGTGGGATGGGGAACCCACCTCTGAGCTGGAAGCCCCAGCACAGGAATGAAGAGGGAAGGGAACTGTTAAGAAGGGGTCACCCAGGAAAGCTGCCCAGGGAGTTGCCACAGAGACCCAAGAAAGAAAACAGCGACCTCTCAGATGTAACAGGACTGAAATCAACTGCTCTGATCCTGCTGAGGGGACCTCTGGTCTGGCATGGCAGGGGGCAGACAGTGAATACTCTGAGCAGGAACAGGACTGGAGGCCAGGAGGAGGAAAGGGATGATGGGGTCTGCTGGATTGGATATTCCAGAGCACGTGAGCTCAGCTCAGATGTAAGAGCTGAGGCAGGAGCAGGAGGGGGGCATTCACTGTCTCCAGTGTCTCCTGCTGAGGATCCATCCATGTCCCCAGGCCCTGCTTCCCAGCAGTGCCAACCACAGCTGCTCATGGGAGCAGAGAACAAACCCTGCTCTCTTTGGCTTCTGTGCATGCAAGCTTGGCTTTACTTTTTGCTTTAAATAAACTGCCTTCTCCCCACCCATGAGTTGTTTTCCACCTTACTCTCTCCCTTGTTGGGCTGGGAAGGGGAGGGACAGAGCAGCTGGGTGGCACCTGGTGCCCAGCCAAGGTCAACCCCCCACTACAGGAAACAGAGGAAAAGCTCCAAGAGAGCCCCAGTTTGGGGCCTGAGGGCCGAGACGAGCCAAAAAAGGGGAACAGGAACCCGGGGCAGAGTCATCCTCGGGGTTTTACAGGAAAGCCCAGCAGAGTTTGTGTCTCAGCACACAGTAAAATGTCATCCAGCTCAGTAACAGAGGAATGAGGTGGGAGATCAGCATCAGACAAGTCACCCTGAGACAACAGTTGTTTATTCCTGTTGGGCAACAACTGCCCTGGTTCCTCTTCCCTCTTTTGCAGCAGAAACACAAAACCTCTGCACGTACCTCTTCGAAGTGGGAGGGGATTTTCAAAGGTGGCTGAAAGGACTGTTTGATTTTCTTGCGGTGTTTCCACAGGAGCAGCAAACCAGCTGTAGCCAGATTTATAAGGACTAACCCCGAGAGACACAGCAGGGTGATGAACCCAGCCCTGGTTGCCTCTGGAAAAGCAGGAAAAAAAA